CATAGGTCCTTTTGTGCGATAAGCGAGCGTATTCTGCAAGTTCATTGCGGAGCAAGGATACATGCATTTATGAACAAAAAACATCTAAATCTGTTATGAAGAATGCACTGGGAGGGTACACGTAACTTAAACCGAAGGAAAATTAAGCGAATAAGTCCACCGATTGACCTCTTCATCGGCCGTTTGGAAATTTATTTTATTTCCGTTGTGCCAGTTCATAGAAAGGGTGCTTCAGGCTTGTCATTAAACTGGACGGTTGTGTAACATCATGTCCCTTAGACGTGCGACACCCTGAGTCTTTTTCTCACGAACTAACGCGACACCTTTTGCCCAGTTTTAGAAGCGTACGGAATAGCCAATTTTTCAACAGCTTGATTCACAAGAAAAATAACTTCCAGTTTCTTCTGATATTTAACCAGCATGCACAATTGCACAAACTGAAACCCTGAGTGAAAACGAAAGTTTCTTCAAAATTGGTCGACGGCAACTATAAAAGTGAATCAGATCAATGAAAACTTGAAATGAAGGTCAATTTATCCTATCTTCACAGATTGCACGTGCTGTTGTAAGTTTTATTTTGGCTTGTCACTTTGATATTTGCACTCGCTCTAACCCACACAATAAAAAATACCGAAAATATTCGAGGGATTTCGAGTTCATATCAAGATTCACTTGGATTATCTTCGAAAAAGAACACTTTTTTAATTTGCAGTACATCGAAGGCAACTCAGTCGTTTGACTGTTTACTCCGCTGTTCTGTTGAAAACAGCTTGAAACAGACGAGTGGTACACCTTCTATCGAACGGTAGAGAGTTATTTTGAAACTAACCGATTTGTTGGTTTAATTTTAATCGTTTCTCTCTGGTGATATCCTCCAGCACCCTGAGGGGTCCAGTCACCAGTTAAGTAACAAAATCTTAGCCATTGGTTTGTGAGATGATTGAACCAACCGAAATATCACGGATCAAGAATTGAGGACAACATGATCCGTTGAAAAGTGCGCAATAGTGAAATTCTGAAGACTAGACTGGTTTTTGTACCACTGAAAAATAGAGTTAGAAATAACTAAGGGATTAAAAGGTATCTTGGATCATTGTGCTGGTTTTTTAGGAACCACAGGTGTGTGAAAGTTGGTCGGCAACACGACAGCTGCGAACTTTGTTACAACCCATATTCGTTACGTCGAAAAGGTTGCGCAATATGAATCACATTTGAACACGGATACATGGCTTTTCTCATCTCCTCAAAACTCCGTTTTTCGGAAATACATATCTTTCTGTGAGAAAAAATAGTGCACCCAATCTACCTTCAACTTCGACACTCATCTCAGCAGGTGTCTACGCTGTACCACCCCCATACCTATTGGGGTATCGCGTGATGTAGAGCGTATAACATCCGCTAGATATTGTCCTAACCAGTGAGTCCGCAGGAGCTTTAAAATAATACCGCACTGAGTAATATAGTTTAGCTGTTTCATGGGAACCTTCAGTATATAGGGCTTGCATTCCAAACGAATAACTATCAGTAATATTTTTACCTTGACAGATGAGGCAATTTAGGATAAATGAACACAAGCACCTATTTTTTGAATTGGCAGAGGAGTGGACATGACTGCCAGAAGCGACGTCATCACAAGCGTCGTCGAAACAGGCCACGTTGTCAGTCTTACGGAAGAGCTTCACATGATCTACTAGGTCGGATACACATTGGCAAGGCAGATCCGAAGGTGTAGTCTAGCAGCGACCTAAGTCAATTTATTTTTCTGCCGTTTGCAGGGAGTGTAAAAAAGAACAGAACACGAAAAATACACAAAAAAGAAACCACATGCCCCCCCCCCACTTTTGAACTCCAATTTGTTAACTGAAAGCTGAAGACGCGTTTTTTGTGCAGCGATTGCGCACCCCACATAAGCAGTTGACAAAATCCTTTTCAAACCAAACCAGAAGGTTATTTCTTTACATTTGGTGACCCCAGTTCTTCTTATATTTAGTTTCTCACCTGTCTCATGCCAGCGGTTCATGAGAAAATGAACATAGTTATATACTACAATACTACAGCATTCTTTTGTATGTTATAACCGTGATTACAATAAACACACTGCGGGACAAAGTCTCAGTTGAAAGGTCAAAAAACACGATCATCATCAGTTGCTGAAAAATTTTCGAGAGATATCTGTTAGAATGACGGCAACGTATTTAGAAAACAGGTAGTTTCTGAGGCAGAAATGAGTCCTTCTGTCGCAGCACAACGCGATTTTATTCAAAATCCCCCACTCTAGTAAAACGTTCAGTTGCGAATGTCTATTCTGATATACATTTATTTTATGTACAAGGTTTGAATGTAGAATGAAACTGATAACTCCTAGTGTATACAACTGATATGTTGGTTAAGAAATTCTGAAGAGAAAAGCGTTTTAAGTGACCTAAATAACTCCACTGAACTGTTTGGCATGCACTTCACACTAGCAATGCCGATATTGTTCCTGTAAACCGATAGGAATCAAACTCAAATCTTACACTTTCAGGCTGGTTAATTAGCGTAGTATATAAATTTATTTAACTGGGCCGCTATGTGAGTACGGGGAGGCTGGCTGAATATGAGACCACTCTTCAGATCGGAATGTTTTTATCTACATCTGACACTTGTGCATGAATTCAGTTTGTCCGTCAAGGGATCGCGGATGTCTAATGGGTCAAAAATATGGTTTCTACGCGCGAAAGACACGAAAATAGTCGGCGTTCGACCATCAGTGTCTCCGAAACACTGGGACACTAGATCAACAGAGCTGAGGTAGACCAAACGGTTTCTGGAGGCCGGGCTGATCAACCTTAATAGTTTGTGCTGTTTAGAAGATGTAGTTCGCATGTTGAAGAACGACCTGACGCGTCCAGCTTAATCCCTCGTCCCTTTTATAAGTAAAAACTGGCGAGGAGCCTACAATGAATGGCGTAACGGCGGAGTAAACTGGCAACTGTCTGCCTCCTGGACAGGACGCGGTGGATCGTTTTCTCAACGGCTGTTGACAATGACACTCCGATATCACTGCTTCAAGGCATAACTTCTTTGCCAGGTAATTTGATTAAATAAACGCTGCGTAAACGTCCACTCCGTAGTTTCCAATGCCTGCCTCCTCATTCTCTGGTCTCCCATTTTTCAATGAACGAAACTGTAGGGACCGGGATCACAGTTCTCTTAGGACTTGTTTTCTTGCTGAATAACTGAAGTGAATTGAACCGAGCTGAAGTGAAGTAAACTAAACTTAGTAATGTACTACTCATAAGGTTGATGAAAATCTGTCGACAGTCCACGACCGGTTTCGCCCTTTTTGGGGCTCATCAGGTAGGTGCAGTCCCCAAGTTTCTGTCAACCTTATGTTCTACTTGAAAACGAAATTAGCGAATATACACTCGTTTGCAAGCTAAACTAAACTTTTTGCTGAGCTAAGCTGAGGGATGTCTTTGGAAGGTGGCGGCACCATACTCTGCCTCGGGTGAAAAAGTAATGGCCTTAGTTCTATATGCTGGTTGTTTCGCTGATTCGTAACATTGGTATGTTTGTTTTTCGACTAAGATTGGTACGCCGCTTTCTTGGTTCACCTATTCATTATGACTTGAGTCGATAATGAAGGTGTGGAAAAGCTCGATTGGATCGAGGTTTTCGATAACTAAAAGTCAATGGGCTGTTCCTGTGGAATATTGGGCCGAATTCGATACTGAATAACTTCTCCCGGTTACCGCAGTTACCTTACCTCTAACGTCCCTGATTATCCGTTCACTAGGGGGCTTTTGAAGTTCTACTTACTCAGTGGATCTGCCAACAATGGGTGATATGGGGTTGATGTTGACACATCCAAGCAGAACTGTTTATTGGGACACGTCCTATCGTAGGGTAGTTTAGAAGGTCAATTTAGCCGTCTAATCCAGCAAGGCCTATCATAAAGTGCATGCACTGCATAAATCCCAAATGAAACTCACTGCGTTAGGTTGCTAGCTGGGGTGAGCGAATGACTAGTGTGGAGTGTTCACGTTTAGTCAATCGCACTTTGGCACTTTCCGGTGGTCATAGTGAAGACTGCAGCGGATTGAGATGCCGTTCTCATCGGATGTCAACTATAAAACGATTTGTATTGATTTTAGCTGACAGATTTGTTAGCTTGCTTATTGGTCAACTGAATGTAGGTTACGTTCGTGTCCGTGACTTACTTCATTCCTGACTTGCCAAGCAACTTAATCAAACACTCGTTGTTCTAGTGTCATTCTTCATGTGCATATTTGTCAAAATTTACTTGTGATATTTCCGTATAATACTGACGATGTGTTGTTGTGGCAATGTTTCCACAAATCTAAAGTCTCTTGTGTTCACTCGGGTTCCTTAGGGATAAGGAACGGCATAGTTTGATGCTCGTATATCTTTTTATCCGAACCATGCCTTGCTGTCCTCTAAAATATAGTTACTGTAAGACTCAAATTCCCCTTTTCGTGTTTCATTGTTTCCTTTCACATCTGCGGGCAAGAATTCGTTTGGCGTTGTTTGTGTCAGACACCAGAACTGCATAAATCAGCATCGAATTCCACACCAATGTCTGTGTGACTGGTTGCTGGTCTTCCCTACCAATCTTCGGGCCTGTAGACTTATTTGCAAGTAGAACGTTCGGTCCCGAGAAATGGTGAGGTTTGCATTGTGAAATGCTGCAGTCGATGACTTACCCGTGAGAATGGTTTGAGAAGACCTGTATGTGAGGGTGTGAGTTCCCTTATACTTGAATGTGTTGTTTATGATGTGATCTTCTTACATGTAGAGTGATAACATGAAATGTAAACCGATATATTATGTACAACTTGAGAATCAATTCAAAACAGTTTTACTTTGGAAGGTATAAAGATCAACTAATATCATATTTATCCGTTTTGGTAGGTTTTTTAAATAGGCCTAACGGACCTGGAATACTGATCCTAGATTTTGAAACCAGTCAAACAAGGTGAAATTGGCGTGAATGTCTATTTCAAAGATTCGGCAAGCATACCTTGAAATATTCCATGCCATACTCCCTTGGGTTGTAATCGAGCTTGAGAGAAAAACAAATGTTTGCCCGCAACATGACGAGAACTCGGCAGCAGAGGCACTGTACTTCCATGCGTCGTCCAATATGGACGTATGGGGAGTCGTGCTGCCTCTCTCAGAATGCCTGTCAGAAAAACACGGTGAAGTTTAAAAGGGTTGTAGACGGTCGAACACGAATACCATAAACGGAGGCTTTGCATTGGAACGGCGAATCCACCTTGTTCCAGATTACAGTGTGGCATAAACTGTGGGTTAGGCCATTCGGCTTGTGAAACTTCAAAAGGCTGTTGAGGTTTTCGTGGCTTGGGTCTTCTTGGTCGTGCACCAACAATGTTAAAACAGTAAAGAGGTTTAGGGCCTAGTTCAACGCTATTCTTCTGTGCGACTATAAAGCTCCCCAACAAAGGAATATTCGGTATAAGATCTTGCTCGATGAAAACCACGTGACCAGCTTTGCTATCACAGTGCTTCAATAACCACTCAGTGGTTAACAGGTGTAGTCTACTTCGATTGGGTTCTGAACCGGTCACTTTCAGTAGAAGCATATCCTGCTCTCTATCCAATTCATATTTGAGGAGATTCACTAGGCTTGGACTCAAACCGGTATTGCTGGGAAGACCAACAACAAAGAAATAGTCGATTCGGGAAATCCTGGATTCTCCGTCAAATTTAAAGTACTGCAGAGAAGCCCAAGTGTGACGTATTCGGTTGCGCTGTTGACTGTGCCGTAGTTCGGAGAAGATCACAAACAACAAATCTGTGTATGGTAATTTACACACAGCTGGTATGATGGAATCCGAGGTGAGTGGATTGACACTGTTCCTGGATAGCTTGTTCAAAAGTGCAGCGGTTTCTGGTAGAAGTCTGCTGATAGATTCCAAAGGTGTTGTAGGTACCTTGGCGTACTTGGGTGATGTATTTCTGCAATGGCTTGTTTTGCGCAAAATTGGATAGTATGTTGATGAAACTGTAGTTGTCTTCAACTTGGAAGAGGTTTGTTTTGAAGTCGATTGGGAGGGGGCTGGTTTTAACCAGGCACGTTTGGTGTAGTACAGATATTTGCCAAAGTCCAAGAAATCCTGGGGTGGTGGACTTGTAAGAACTGGGGACTTATGATATATTTGCGGTTGACTGACTAGTGTCACAATCCACAATCCAAGTAAAATACAAAAATAAAAGCAGATGAAGCATGAACCAAACAGGAGACTTATACGTAAGCAAGTTCCAATTGCACAGGCACGACGACGTGATAGCATTCTTCAGAGATGATAGTTGAATAGAATAGAACAAATTGGCTTGCTTGAATAATGAGTATAGCCACACTTGTCCGAAGCTTTGCTGAACACCGTGGAACATTTTCCCTATATCATTGGGGCCCGAAATTGTCAAACTTTATCAGTCCCAGTCCTTATGCTTTAGCAGCAATTCACCGGTGCTTTGTAATAGTCAATTGTGCTTGCATTCGTTCTCATATATTCGTCAGACTGAAAACAAATGCACCATACATTTTGACCAATCTGGCAAGGATGTGAACGTGGTATTGATCAAGCCTGACCAATCAAAGATCCGCGAGAACGACGTATACTTTCTGAGTTCTACGATTTCACCTGGAACCAGAATGGTTTCTGATACGGTTCAATGTATCAGAAGTTCATAACTCGATCTGTTAGCAATACCTGGTGTGTAATCTTTGGGTTCAATTTTATACAAAATATTTCCAAACAACGACCGCCTTTGGTGGAATTTTCACGCTTCGTCGCTTTGATAGAAATTGGAGGATACCAAACGAGTGACTGACTTAGGCAACTAATGCGTACTATTGACCACTTATGTAACCTAACATGCCAAGATATGAATGATAGCAGCATCGTCAGCAGGAGGAATTCGAAGCTACACAACCCCTAGTCTATCACGACGGGCTTAGCAGAACCTGCTGGAATAAAGTCAAACGTTAGCGAAATACACTCATTTGCAAACTAGTTTAGTTTTTCGAGGACTCACCTGGAACCCAGCTGAATCTCTCGTTTGTGATGTTTCCAGGCAACTGAATGTACTGCACCTGGCCGCCTCATGTTTCAGTCGCTACGATATTCGAGATATCGCGACACATGTATATTTGTTATGCACTACTCATAAGATCGCTCAAACTTCCTCGACAGCCCACGACCGGTTTCACCCTTCTTGGGGCTCATCAGGTAGGTGCAGTCCCCTAGTTTCCGTCAACCTCATGTTCTACTTGAAACCAAATTGCACGAAATTAGCGGAATACACTCATTTGCAAACTAAATTGGTGTTTCGAGAGACTCACACGGAACCCAGTTGGATCTCTCGTTTGTGATGTTTCCTGGCAACTCGTACAATTTGGTTTCAAGTAGAACATAAAGTTGACGGAAACTCGGGGACTGCGCCTATCCGGTGAGCCCCAAGAAGGGAGAAGTTAAACGTTCATTTATGCGTCATTGGAACGATGTCGACGCTAAGGAGAACTGTGGCGATTTCATACTTGTCCTGGACAATGTCCGAACTTGAGGTGATTGGAAAACCCAGAACAGAAAACCCAAACTGAATAATAGCCATTCGACAAACAGAATGATACCGAACAGCAATTCTTATATGTTTGTTCGTCGTATTTTGGTGCTGTCCAGTAAGTCCGGCACATTGGAACCAGACACACTGAAGTGAAATCGGATTCCGAGCCTTTTGTGGCAAATTAAATGAGCAAGACGAATGCATTTGCAAACACAAATGGAAGAACGTGTGACGAAAATGTTGATAGTTACAAGTTCAGCGAGACATTTCGCATGGTCTTTCAAAAAATTTTCAACCGGAATAATGAATTGACTAATGCTACAAAGATGAACGACAACCGACGCCATTCAGTGCATGCAAATGTCTAAACTTAATTCATCTCAACAACGCATGAAGGGGCAGAGAGCTGCTGAAGATGTTTAATGGCTTGTTAACTGAACGGATAAGTTTAGAAAAACTGGTGGGAGAACACCCCCCCCCCACCACGACTAAGCAATCCACCTC